CCCCCGGCATGGGCTCGGAGACCCCCCTGTTGCCGGAGCTGGCAGGGACCTGCCCGAGCTCTGCCCGCGGGGGGACAGAGGGGATGCTGTCGGGGACGGCGGGGTCCTCGCACTCACTGGATTGTTTTCTGGATTTCGAGGAGCCCTTGGATGACTTTTTGGGCTTCTTTATCCGCTGGTATTTCAGAGCTTCGAGCCTCTCAGGTGCAGCAGCGTCCCCGGACGGAGATGGATGTTTTCTAGGAAGGAAAAGCAGACAGGTGCCGTCAGCGGGGCTCTGCCACGCTCGGGCCTCCGGACGTCCCCGGCGGGGGATCGGTCGACCCCAGCCAGCTCTGCCGTGGAAAAGGAAAAGGTGAGAAACCCGGGGCCGAGGGAGCAGGGCCAGCCAGGCGTGCTGGAGGAAGCGAGGTGCCCACGTGTGCCGGCACCCCAGCTCACCTGCCTGCCATGCCAGCACCGCTACACGAGAAAGGACGGGGCAGATCCCATGTCCGAGAAGGCATTTCTGGGAAGTGGTGGGAAACCCCTTGGGATGGAGAGCGAGGGAGAGACAGGCAGAAGAGGCACGGCAGCACCGAGACGGGCACCACGAGCCACCCGGGGCGGACAACACCGGCGCCACAAACAGCAGGGAGGCAAGATCCTGCCCGGCCCCTGCTCCAACAGCCATGAATAAACCAGGGGCCACACGACAGACAGGGACACGGAGGGCACACGCCGACACAGCCGGGAGCGGTACCTCGTTCCCAGGCCCCTGCTGTAAGCGACAACAGAAACGTAACGGTACGGGAGAGCCCGCTCCTTGCCACCGAGCGGCTGGGAGCTGGGTTTTCTTGCCCTGCGGGACAGGACACAGAAATGAAAACACTGACAAGGTTCTGCTGCCAGGGACAAGGACTTGCAAAGGGGTGTTTCCTGCAGGAGCACCAGCAGTTCTAAGCGATAGTTTTCCAGCCTTAAGCCCTAAGTAACTCTGCTACAGGAACCAGCTCAAGGCTAAGTGGTCTCCCCTTTGCAAAGCGGGTTTTTTTGCTCTATTTTCTTCACTGTACCTGTTTTTCTCATGCAAGGATTGGACAGTATGAGTGCCGTGGAGAGCAGGGCAGTGGAGCAAAACCTTCTCCTTAGGAGAGCAGTCGGTCCAGCTCTCGTATTTAACACATCACAGCATCCCCCCCTCTTGCTGCTTTCCCGTTTTCTTCCCCCTCTCCATTTTACTTTCACCTCCCTCCACGTTGCACCAACACCTAATGCCGCAGAAGTCCGAGTCAAGGCAGCCAAGGCCACAGGTAATGACCCGAGATCACCCTGAGTCACCACAGAGCAACCTGAACACCAGGTGCCTGGAGATGACAGGCGAAGCGTCCACAAAGCACGTTTCATTGCAATGAACTCAGTGCTTGAAGCCAGGCTCCACAGAGAAAAGCCTCGAGGTTTAAACCAGCGTGCCTCTAACAAGCCTGTCCTACCCTTCAAAGGAGGAGACGACACTCTTCTGCTCTCACAGCTGGGTCACCGGAGGTCAGCAACCAAACTGTTTCAAAACAGCCGTGCAGAGGACAGCACTGATGGCAACTCCTGCATCTCCAGGCATCTGTGACCGGGGCAGAGATCAGCAAACCCCGCAGCCCACAGGCTCTTCACAAGGCAGCAGGATGGGCAGGCAGAAGAGTCCCCTCGACTGACTGCAAGGAGACAGCATCAGTTCATTCAGACTCCTGCTTCGTCACCAAGTCACGGCTGAACTCCTCCACCTCGTTCCTGGTCTGTCAGTAAGGTGCAACTCATCCAGCGTTGCAAAAACGCTGCTGGTGCCGGTGGGAGCACGAGGGAGGGGGGGAGCACACAGGCTCAAGCACAGAGCTCCAGCGCACCCAGGCTGTGGTACAAGAGCACGTCCACCTACAGTGAGTTCGGAGCTTCTCGTCTCCCCTGGCTTTCAGGTGGAGCCTCTCTGGCACTGAAGGCACCTCGCAGGCTTTCCTCTGCGAGCCCGCATGCGTGCCACCACTGCGGAGAGCACGGCGTGATGGCAATGCTCACGTCCGGGATCCCAAGCGGCTGCCGGAGCGGTGATACTTCAGCTGGAGTGGCACAGGAGAAGAGCTCCCAAGGGATTTTTCCCCCTGGGGAGCAAGAAGGGGTTGTTTTTGAAGACGTGTGTGAGTGCAAAGCTTCTCTCAGTTCTCCTAGCAGCCCTGGAGAGCTCCAAGAAAAGCGCGGTGTGAATTGACGAAGCAGCTGGGGCACAGCAGATGCAACAGAAACCCAAACACTGGGTACACAAAAGCGTCTTTTCATGTTTCCCATCCCAAGAGACACCAAGGTGCGGATGCTCCTGGAGAGCCTCCGTTCCAGCTCCCGGCAGAGCAGCCCATCAGCCGAAGACGCAGCACCTCATTAGACAAGCAGGCAGTTCCGCTGGCTGGATCCCAGTGAGAGCCTTCCCTCCTCAGGGAGATGACGTTCAGAAGCCCGTACAGTCGCTGTGCTTAAACACCTTCTCCTCAAGTGCAGGCAGCCTGTTGTGAGAGACGTGGCGAGCGGCGGCTCTGAGCTCTGTCGGGGCACTGCCCGCTGAGCTGCACCAACACCGACAGCCGCCGAGCTTTACCCGGTGCACACGCTGCCTCGGAGCAAGACCACAGCGACACAAAGGGCCAACAGCACACGAACTCCCTAAAAAAAAAATTCCTGCTTGAATGCTCAATAGCAGGCTTTTTCCATTTGATATTCGCCAAACACAATCATTACATTCATGTAGGTACTTGGCTAATTGCAACCTTGACTACGCCAATCCCAGTCCATCTCCCACGGAGCTCACGTGTGCCAAGCTTTGGATGCCAGCGAGCCTGGCGATCCTGCCACCGTCCTGCCCACCGGCATCTGCCTTCTACCGCCTGTTCCCACCACTCAGACAACTTTGCTGATATTATTAATGCTCAACTCATAAAAGGCTCTTGCTCTTTCCATTCCTTTTCCCTTCTAAGAAGATGCAACTGTGGCACGTTGACAAAATTAGACAGATTTACGCAAGGGATTATAAGGAAGTTGCCCGAAGCTCATTTCCACTAGATCTCTGTAATTGGACTTGTGTTTATACACATAAACAGTGAGCGCACTGAACCCATGTGTCACCATAAATACTGTCTGACCTCTGGCAAGCAAGCGACAGAGAGGAGGACAAAACGATGCTACTCACCAGCCAAATTTTATCTGCTCTACCCAACCTTTATTTCTTCAAAGGACTCGGATTCTTTCAAATTAATTTTAAGCTCAGCCAAAAGTCTGTTCCTGCCCCCAGAGTCAGCATTTTGGGCAGCTGCCCATGCACGAGGGATGTCTTGAACACCAACAGATGAGATATTCAGGGAGGCGGGTGAACTTCTAAAGACTTCAGCGCAGAGCCAAGCAAAGGGCCTTCAAGAAGCACACAAATTCCTAATGCAAGCTTTCCGCAAGCTGCCACCAACACCTGGAGCAGCAGCTTTCCTCAGGTCTCCAAAGGGCAACCCTTCTGAACGAGCAAGGGTCTGAACTACATGGACAGAGAGGTACTGGACAGGCCGCAAAGGAGGGACCTCAGAGCGCCCCAGGAGAGCAGGTGCTAGCTCGGGGAGAAGAGCTATCCAACCCCAACACATATCTCAGCAGTTCTTCTTCAAACACCTTTCCACGTACAACGCAAAGGGAGAAGGCCCATGAAAGCATCACTGACCTTGTTCCACCCAAAAGGGGGAACCCATATAAAGGAAGGGTCCAGAAGATTCAAGGGCACAATACATGCATTTCTCTTCCTGGAGGTCTCAACACACATTCCCCGTCTCCTTCTCTCCTTGAGTTAAGGCATCAATATCCAGGAATAGTTTGGACATGTTAGAGCATCCACTTGGAACAGTTAGAGCATCCACTTGGACCAGAGCCCACCATGTCTCAGCCACCGTGTCCTTCAGCCCTTTATCCTCCTCACACGAAGAGTTCAGTTCACCTACACGAGGCTCTGTCTCAAGCTTAAGTCCTGTGTGATGCTGTGAGATGTCCTGCAAGTCAGAATTGCCCCTCCGCTCTGAGGCAGCGCTGGCTGCTGCCTCCATCCCGGGATGCCATCGCGCATCGCTTGAGATCCTTTGGCACGGGAGAAACACAGCAGTGACGGCCCCTTGCCCCAGAGCTGCTGCTGCCAAGGCACCGCAATGAGGGAGGAAGGGGCTGGCCACAGCGGGGAGCACACCGGAGAAGGGGGTCCCTTCTACAGGTCTGCAGACACCACAACTCATCTACACAATGGACTTCACCATGCTGACGGGAGAGGAGCGGGGAGGAGAGAGGGCGAGGGAAAAGGGGCCGGACTGGAGAGGAAGAGGGGGATACAGTCACGGGGAAGGGGGGAGAGAGGAAGATAAACGAAAAACAGGAGTGAGAAAATATAGAAGTAAATTAAAGAGACTGAAAAGAAAAAAAATAATAATAATTAAGAAAGAAAAGAAAAAAACGCACTCAGACAAGCTGACTCACAACTTCTCCAAGCGGGAGGAGGCATGAAACACATGCAGAGGATCAGCACATGGACAGTCTTTAAAGGGGAACCTGTTTGTGGTGCCGAGGGGTGCGGGGGGCTTGGTGCTTTGTCTGTGGTTTTTGGGTTTCCCTCTGCAGGGAGACGACAGCCCCCTCTTCCCCGTCAGGAGACGCAGCACTGCGCGCCGCATCCGAAGGGAAGATGATGGGAAAACTGCTCGTGCCGACTCACTAACGGCATTGTTTATCCCTGCACATCGGTAAAAACTACCCAACCTCCACCCAGCGAAAGCCACCGCGCTGCAGCCACCACCGAGCCCGCAGGCTGCCTCTCCCTCTCCTCCCCTCAGCTTTTATTACTGCAGTACAGAAATCTGGCTGGCCTGGTATAAAATCCCCGGGCTCCGCATGCACTGACAATTTTATGACCCCAAATCATCTAGAAATTACTTGGCTGGGCTCTTTACAGGATTCCTCGCTTATTAAAGCGAGATTTATTCTTCTGGCTTCCCCTTTTTGGGGATAACGGAGTCGCTCCTGCGACTCCAACCCCCGGCAGCATCTTGGAGTAGGACGCACGGCTGCTCCTCAGCAAGCGTCCTGCTGGGCAACGTGACTCTGCTCCTCAAACCCCACCGGCCCACAGCACCCATCACCGGAGACAGGAGCCAGCCAGGATCTGTGCAAGAGCCACACCAAACTCGGACGCGAGCCTGGACACACCTCTGCGGTGCTAAAGGCATGTTCACTCGTGTCCCTAACGCTCCCAGAGCGGGGAAGCGCTGCGGAAGAAGAACAGAGAAAAGAGCCACGTCCTCGCTGAAGGCTTCCCCGTCGCTCGAGCAATCTGGCACTGCCCAGATCTCACCAAGGCTTTGCTCGTCACGGGGCACCTCGCTCTGGGATCGGCAGGGGAAAACACAAGAAGGTAGTGGCCAAGCGCTCAACAGCTTTGGATGCTGCAAGGCTTGAACTGGAGGGGTTTTGCCCTGCCAACAGGATGGCTCCTCACTGGAGCACACATCCTGTACCTGCTCCCATCTCCATCACTCCTTCCACACTTCTCCTGCGCTCCTCACCTCAGGACAACCCTCCATGTCAGCTGGAGGAACTCCCCTCTCTTGGAAACATCTACCTTATTTCTCTAGGCAGCTCAGCTCTCTCTCATGAGGCTCTTTTCCAGTCCAACAAGGCTCCTCAGGCTGTTATAAAGAACATCAGACAGGACCTTGACTCTTCCCATTCAAGGCAGCAAAGCTAAAGTTTTTGTAAGACCTTTCCTAAGAAAGCTTGGGCATGGCCAGGCCCTGGCAATGGTCCCACCTGTGATCCCACCTCTCCTTTCATAACCTGCCTGGCTGACAGCCACACCAGCCAGCCTTCCCAGTCCTTAGGGTCAGAAATTACTATTATCCCATCTAGCTTTTGCAGTTTTAGTGACATTCTCTTGCTTCTAAGGTCTGAAAACTATCTCCCAATTACTCCAGCCCAGTTCCGTGGATGCCCACGGCCATCTAAGAAACCGGCCCCATGAAGGCACCTCAAGAGGTATTTTCTTGGGAGAGTCATTCAAGATCCTCTTAGGGCTGTTTAATTACAGCTGGGTCAGAAGAAGTCTTAAAGATTTCTCCAAGGAGTAATTCTGAGAAGAAGGGCTCTAAATATGACGTTTGTGATGGGAACGACAAAACACCTCACTGGAAGTCTAAAACTGTAGTTATGCTGCTGCCAACGGTACAGCCCATCTTGAAAGACAGACTTCTCCCATTTTCCACGATTGAGGAGACTCGGGAAGAAGAAAACAGATCCAGGTACCACGATGGGAACAAAATTCTCCGTGACCTAGACTGCAACCAGAGACTGATTTTGGAGCCCCGCTCCAAGAGCGCTGTCTGCAGCTGGTTGCTCCGGAGGTGGCTGTTTTCCCTGGCTCCGGGGGGTGGCCATGAGCTCCTCCCAGTATGGATCATTCAGGACAACTGCACCTTGACACGCACCTCCCTGACACCGCGCACCCATGCAAGCCCCGCCGGGGCCGAGGGTGCCACGTACCACCGTCCCCCAGGAAAGGAAGGGCGGCCACGGGGAGAGGGCAGCTTGGCTCTTCCCAAACCCCAACACGAAGACACGGCCGCCACCCCCAGGCTCTTCAGCCCCGCTGCCTCCCCGAAGGCTGGGGAGCAGCGGCAAGGTGCTGGGAGGGGAAACCCAAAAGCCACAGAGACTGTGCGTCCAGAGGTGTTTCCTAGTGTTTTCGGATTCCTTATTCCCCTTTAAAGGAAGAGATGGTATTGGAAAAGCCCCTTCCGTGTCCCCTCTCATGCCCCGCTCCCGGCCACCCTCCACAGCACCCACACCATCCTTTCGGACATGGATCACCCTTACCTATTGAGCTGAGGAGAAGCTTGTCTCGACAACACTGCCCAGATAGCTGAGATTAATCAAAAACAAAGCAGTTATCAACACCCGCAAGGAGCCGAGCTCCGCAACACATCAGCACGTCAACAACTCCAAAGGAAAAGGAGGGAAAGAAACCAAACTGTAACACAAACGAAACGAGGCTGGAGAAGAAAGGGGGAAAGAAACAGAAGAGAAAGGAAAAGAAGAAAAGAAAACGATAATCAACAAAGCGAATGGATACACTGCGTAAAAGCACGGACAACAGTGCTGCTCTAACACGGATCTCTCCTGGAGCTGGGTCTCCTCGGGGTGCCCTGGCTAGGAGACGTGAGCCTACGTGCTTCACTGCATCGCTCCGTAGCGGTGTTTGCCAGAGGCACACAGAAGTCTTTCCAGGCTCGTTCAGCTCCTCTCCCTCCCCATCCTCTCCCCTGAGCCCTCCTTCCTTCCCCCTGCGCACCCCAGCCGTGCCGGAGGGGCTTTCTAAGGCCATAACGCTTCCAGGTACCAGAGGGTGGGAGTGAAATGCGGAGGGCGCTGCGGGGTGAAACGCTGCCTCCCCCCTCCCCGAAACACAGGCCTCTTCTCCGTACG